TTTTTTTTTTTTTTTGAGATGGAGTCTTGCTCTGTCACCCAGGCTGGAGTGCAGTGCCTCGAACTCGGCTCACTGCAACCTCTGCCTCCTGAGTTCAAGCAATTCCCCTGCCTCAGCCTCTCGAGTAGCTGGGACTACAGGCCAACCCCACCACGCCTGGCTAATTTTTGTATGTATTTAGTACAGACAGTGTTTCATCTTGTTGACCAGGCTGAACCAAGAGGAACTCCTGACCTCAGGTGATCCGCCCACCTTGGCCTCCCAAAGTGCTGGGATTATAGGTGTGAGCCTGGCCGTAACCAACTTTAGCACCGTTCGATAGAAAGATAAAGTGAACTATAAGTTAAGATTTTTCAATATCCACATTAAGAAAAAAAAAGTGAGATCAATTTCATTAATGTTTTGTTTGGTCCCGTGTATCCAAAGTATTATCTTTCAGCATGTAATTCATGTGAAGGATTGGGCTGGGTACCGTGGCTCACGCCTGTACTCCTAGTACTTTGGGAGGCTGAGGTGAGAGGATTGCTTGAGCTTAGTAGTTGAAGACCAAAGGGAGACCTTGTCTCTACAAGAAAAAAAATTTAACTCAGCATGGTGGCGCATACCTGTTGTCCCAACTACTGAGGAGGCTGAAGCAGAAGGATCGCTTGGGCCCAGGAGATTGAAGCTGCAGTGAGGTGTGATTGAGCCACTGCACTCCAACCTGGGCGGCAGAGTGAGAGACACTGTCTCAAAAGCAAAAAAAAAATATGTTGAACTATAATGCTTTTTGTGGGAGGATCACTGAGATTTGAAACCTGGTGAGTCTTTCACACTTAGCACCCTTCTGAACTACTGCACTTCAAGTGCTGAACAGTTCATGTGGCTCTGGGCTCCCTTCAGGCCATGGGTCCTGACCACGTGCATGGGCTTGTTGGGGGTGGCCAGTGCCACCTTTGTCCTCCCTTCCCTGTTTGTTTATTCCCAGTCAGGTCCTCCACGGGCCTTTTTCTTGTTCCGTTGCTGTCAGACAGAGCCCTTGGACCCCTCTGCAAACTGTGGGGTGCCCTGAACTTCCCAGGCCTTTCTCCTGCCCCATCTCTTCTGGTGACCTGGTGCTGCCTATACCGATTTCTGTCTGTGAGGGACTTGCTTGGTCTGCTTAGTCCTAGGTTGATTCTTTTATTTTTATTTTATTTTGTTTTATTTTATTTGCTTATTTTATTTTTATTCTTTAAATTTATTTTATTTTTATTTATTTATTTATTTATTTTTGAGACCTAGTCTTGCTCTGTCACCCAGGCTGGAGTACAGTGGCCCAATCTCAGCTCACCGCAAGCTCCGCCTCCCGGGTTCACGCCATTCTGCCTCAGCCTCCCGAGTAGCTGGGACTACAGGCGCCCGCCAACGCCCGGCTAATTTTTTGTAATTTTTTTTTAAGTAGAGATGGGGTTTCACCGTGTTAGCCAGGATGGTCTTGATCTCTTGACCTTGTGATCCGCCTGCCTCAGCCTCCCAGAGTGCTGGGATTACAGGCATGAGCCACTGCGCCTGGCCTATTTTTATTTTTTTAAATTTATTTTATTTTATTTTTAAAATTTTCTAATTTTTTGAATTTATTTTTATTTTATTTTATTTATTTTTTTTTTTTTGAGGCGGAGTCTCGCTCTGTCGCCCAGGCTGGAGTGCAGTGGCTGGATCTCAGCTCACTGCAAGCTCTGCCTCCCGGGTTTACGCCATTCTCCTGCCTCAGCCTCCCAAGTAGCTGGGACTACAGGCGCCCGCCACCTTGCCCGGCTAGTTTTTTGTATTTTTGGTAGAGATGGGGTTTCACTGTATTAGCCAGGATGGTCTCGATCTCCTGACCTCGTGATCCGCCCATCTTGGCCTCCCAAAGTGCTGGGATTACAGGCTTGAGCCACGGTGCCCGGCCGAGTTTATTATTTTATTTTATTTATGTTATTTTAATTTAATTTTATTTTATATTTTACTTTATTTTATTTTATTTTTTTGAGACGGAGTTGCTTGTTGCCCAGGCTGGAGTACAGTGGTGTGATCTCCGCTGACTGCAACCTCATTCTCCCAGGTTCAAGTGATTCTCCTGCCTCAACCTCCTGAGTAGCTGGGATTATAGGCGCCCACCTCCACGCTTGACTAATATTTGTATTTTTAGTAGAGACGGGATTTCACCATGTTGGCCAGGCCGGTCTCGAACTCCTGGTCTCAGGTAATCCACCCACCTTGGCCTACCAATTTGCTGCAGTTACAGCCATGAGCCGCCGTGCCCAGCCCAATTCTCTTTTAAAAAGTTAAATTAGACGGGGCACAATGGCTCACACCTGTAATATCAGCACTTTGGGAGGCCAAGGCGGGCAGATCACAAGGTCAGGAGTTCAAGACAAGCCTGACCAACGTGGTAAAAACCCATCTCTACTAAAAACACAAAAATTAGCCAGATGTGGTGGTGTGCCCCTGTAATTCCAGCTACTCAGGAGGCTGAGTCAGGAGAATCACTTGAACCTGGGAGGCGGAGGTTGCAGTGAGCCAAGATTGCACTACTGTACTCCAGCCTAGGCGACAGAGTGAGACTCAGTCTCAAAAGAAGAAAAAAAAAAAGTTAAAAACTGGGTCAGGTGTGGTGGCTCACGCCTGTAATCTTAGCACTTTGGGAGGCCAAGGTGGGTGGATCACCTGAGCTCAGAAGACCGGCCCGGGCAACATGGGGAAACCTTGTCTCTACTAAAATACAAAAAATTAGCTGGGCGTGGTGGCCTGTGCCTGTAATCCCAACTACAGGCTGAGACAGGAGAATAGCTTGAATCTGGGAGGCGGAGGTTGCAGCGAGCCGAGATCCTACCATTGCACTCCAGCCTGGGCGACAGCACAAGACTATCTCAAAAGGAAAAAAAAGGTTGGGCATGGTGGCATGCAATTGTAGTCCCAGCTACTCGGGAGGCTGAGGCAGGAGAATCACTCTAGCCCAGGAGGTCAAGGCTGCAGTGAGCCACAGTCTCAACGGTGCACTCCAGCCTGGACAACAGAGCAAGGCCTTGTCTCAAAAAAAGTTATAAAAAAGATAAAAATAACAGAACCTGCTACCATCAGACTGGGTGCCAATATTTAATAAGAGAGGAGGGAACATTTTCTGCCAAAAAGTAGGAAGGACAGATATCCAGATGTCCAGAGAGAGGGGCCGCACTGCCCTGCACGTGATGTCCATGTGTCTTCATTGTGGCGGAGCCTGGGAGGGTCCCGGGACCTGACGGTGCTTCTCACTGCAGGTGGTGCAGCGGCTGACGCAGATGGTGGGGAAGAACGTGAAGCTGTACGACATGGTGCTGCAGTTTCTGCGTACGCTCTTCCTGCGCACGCGGAATGTGCACTACTGCACGCTGCGGGCTGAGCTGCTCATGTCCCTGCATGACCTGGACGTGGGTGAGATCTGCACCGTGGACCCGTGCCACAAGGTAGCACTGCCCTCCCTCCTTCCTCCTGGCCCTCCTGGCTCCTCTCCCCGCTGTGGGTTTGGCTGGGCCGGTGACCACCTGGGCGCCCTCCTCTCCCGAGGCTGTTTCCTGGGCTCTGATCTTTCTGTCCTGCTGTGTGTTGGCATCTTGTGGCTCCTCTCCAGACCCTGATGGGGGAAGGAGGCTAGTCCCCTGCATCTGAGCCAGAGACCTGGCCATTCCCTGGGACTCTCTTGCCCCGTCCAGCCCTTTGTCTGTTCCCGAGGGCTGTAGGACCTACAGGCTGGACCTTGACCATTGCCCCAGCTTCCTCCCATCTTTCCAAACCTGGCCTGTGGCCTTCCCCTTCCCCAGAACCCTGGGGACTACTTGTTGGCCAGGTACCGAGTGCTCCAGGAATGGGGTTTCCCTTCATACGGACCCTCCAGCCTTGGGACCATCTTTCCGGGACTGGAGTCACCCTCCGAGGCTTCCATTGCTTGGAGTGCTGCAGTGGCCACCCCCACACTCAGGGTGCCATGAGGGAGTCCCCTTTTAGAAAGAAACATCATCACTGTCTCCACTGCTGTCCTGACCCTGCTGCTTCGGCACCATCGGGAGACTGGTGCCCGGTGCCTTCCCTCACAGCAGCTGTGACTGAGCGAGAGGCCGGGGCCTGCGGCTGTGTTTGGGGCCGGATCTCTGGTCGTCCTGGGAGGCTTGGTCTGGTCCCGACCGTGCTTCCTCCTTGCAGTTCACCTGGTGCCTGGACGCCTGCATCCGAGAGCGGTTCGTGGACAGCAAGAGGGCGCGGGAGCTGCAGGGGTTTCTCGATGGAGTCAAGAAGGGCCAGGAGCAGGTGCTGGGGTGAGGGTCGGCTCCATGAAGCCTCTGCCCCCAGGGCCCTGTGCGCATCTGCTCTGCGCTCGCTGTGTTTTGTCGTGGGTAGCAGGTGTTTATTCCCTGATGTTGCTTTGTCTTTTGTTGTTTTCGAGATAGAGTCTCATTCTGTAGCCCAGGATGAAGTGCAATGGTGCGATCTCTGCTCACTGCAACCTCCGCCTCCCAGGCTCAAGCCATTCTCCTGCCTCAGCCTCCCAAGTAGCTGGGATTACAGGCACGCGCCACTGCGCCCAGCTAATTTTTGTATTTTTTAGTAGAGACAGGGTTTCATCATGTTGGCCAGGCTGGTCTTGAACCCCTGACCTCAGGTGATCCACCCGCCTCAGCCTTCCAAAGCGCTGGGATTACAGGCGTGAGACCCCGCACCCAGCCTCCTGGATGTTTCAGCAGAGCTATGTTGGGCACTGCTGGCCCACAGCTGAGGGACATGGTTGTTGGGATGTGTCTGGGTAGCAAAGTCTCCCTCCTCAACTCTGCATTCTGTAGCCAGGCCCAGGGGCTGGGGGCTCTGGTGTCTGCAGTGGCGTGGAGCCAGCCTCTGAGCTTAGGGGTATCTGTTGGCATTTGCTTTCCAGCATTCTCTGGCTGGTGTATAGACACAGTGCTGCCTGGCCCCACCTTTGCCACTTTTTTTCATCTTTTTGAGACAGGGTCTGTGTCACCCAGGCTTCAGTGCAGTGGTACAGTCTTCCTCATCTCCTGGGCATTGATCCTGCTGCCTCAGCCTCCCAGAGTGCTGGGATTACAGGCATGAGCCACCACACGCAGGCTTTATTTTGTTTGTTTTTTTAACTCTAATTTGGAAGATCTAACATGTTAAGGACAAATTGCAAACCTTAAGCTTTTTTTTTTTTTTTGAGATGGAGTCTCGCTCTGTCACCCAGCCTGGAGAGCAGTAGCGCGATCTTGGCTCACTGCAAGCTCCGCCTGCTGGGTTCACGCCATTCTCATGCTTCATCTTCCCAAGTAGCGGGGACTACAGGCGCCTGCCACTACACCCAGCTAATTTTTTGTATTTTTAGTAGAGATGGGGTTTCACCGTGTTAGCCAGGATGGTTTTTGATTTCCTGACCTCGTGATCCACCCGCCTCGGCCTCCCAAAGTGCTGGGATTACAGGCATGAGGCACTGCGCCCGGCCAACCTTAAGCTTTTTTTAAGAAACCCAGCATGTGATGGGTGCCCGTTGCCAGTCCCGAACCCAGCCTAGGCCACCCCTCCTGAGGACTGTGCCACTGAAGGGAGGGGCAACAGGCGTTTCATTAATGCCAAGGCGGCCTCCTTCCAGGGACCTGTCCATGATCCTGTGTGACCCCTTCGCCATCAACACGCTGGCACTGAGCACAGTCAGGCACCTGCAGGAGCTGGTCGGCCAGGAGACACTGCCCAGGGTGAGTGTGGGCTTGGTCAGCAGCTGTCGGGGCCACGTGACCACCCCACTGGCTGCTCCGGGTGGTCGGGGTGTGGAGGCAGCTGTCGGGGCCCTGTGGCCGCCCCGCCGGCTCTGGTGGTCGGTGTGGACGGCAGCGGCCAGGTAGAGGCGCGTGCTTCCCTGCTGTGAGACTGGGTTTCACCCCGTGTGTGGGGCTGGTGATTGCAGTCGTGTGGTCCTGGCCATGGGCACCAGAGACCCTGCTGGGTAACGAGTTGGGTCAGAGGAGCTCCATGGCCAGGACACGGCTGCCTGGGACTGGCGCTGAGCCCGTCCTCCCTACAGGACAGCCCCGACCTGCTGCTGCTGCTCCGGCTGCTGGCACTGGGCCAGGGAGCCTGGGACATGATTGACAGCCAGGTCTTCAAGGAGCCCAAGATGGTAACAAGCCTCCTGTGGGGACTGCCAGTTTCTCCCGAGGAGCTGTGGGCTGGAAGTGGGGTGGAGCGGGAGGCGCTAGCAAAGTGGTTGTGGAGGCCCCTTTGGTCCCAAAGCTTCCTTCCTGGAGGTGCCCACCTTCTGTTTGGGAAAATGCCCACCGGGGGGTTCTGGGGTGTCTCCGTGGACCATGGCTGGCCACAGGTGGTGGCTACTCCATGTGGATCCAGGCCCAGAAGGGGGTTTGAGGACCTGGGTGGGGGACTTGGGAGGTGGGAAGAGGGACCTGGGGACCTGGAGAGGAGGGTGGGGTTGGTGAGGTGTCTGGGGGAGTGGGAGGGCCGGGGCAGGGTGTGTGTCAACGTTGGGGTGGGGTGGGGTGGGACGGGGCCCGCTCATGGCCTCCCCTCCTCGTAGGAGGTAGAGCTCATAACCAGGTTCCTCCCGATGCTCATGTCCTTCCTGGTGGATGACTACACTTTCAATGTGGATCAGAAACTTCCGGCCGAGGAGAAAGCCCCAGTCTCATATCCAAACACACTTCCCGAAAGCTTCACTAAGTACGGGCTGCAGGGCCGTGGGTGCAGGGGTGGCCGTGGCACAGGGGTGGCCGTGGGTGCAGGGGTGGCCGTGGCACAGGGGTGGCACTGTTGCCGGGGGGCTGCTGCAGGGCTGGGTGGGGGTCGGTGTGGGGGCTCAGGCAGGGCTGATGGCGCTCGGGGCACAGGTTTTTGCAGGAGCAGCGCATGGCCTGCGAGGTGGGGCTGTACTACGTCCTGCATATCACCAAGCAGAGGAACAAGAATGCGCTTCTCCGCCTGCTGCCGGGGCTGGGTGAGTCCTGACGGGCGGTGGCTGGCAGTGCCTTCCCTGCGGCAGCTGCTGTGCGCGATCCCGCCCAGGGTGCAGGCCCCAGGGCCCCCAGGAGCTGTCATCTCCCCAGCCCACTTCCAACTTTGCTAGCTTTGTTTTCTTTTTTTTTTTCTTTTTTTTTTTTTTTGAGACGGAGTCTTGCTCTGTCGCCCAGACTGGAGTGCAGTGGCCGGATCTCAGCTCACTGCAAGCTCCACCTCCGGGGTTCACGCCATTCTCCTGCCTCAGCCTCCCGAGTAGCTGGGACCACAGGCGCCCGCCACCTCGCCCGGCTAGTTTTTTGTATATTTTAGTAGAGGCGGGGTTTCACTGTGTTAGCCAGGATGGTCTTGATCGCCTGACCTTGTGATCAGCCCGTCTCGGCCTCCCAAAGTGCTAGGATTACAGGCTTGAGCCACCGCACCCGGCCTAGCTTTGTTTTCACTTTTTTTTTTTTTTTTTGAGACGAAGTCTCACTCTGTCGCCCAGGCTGGAGTGCAATGGCGCGACCTCAGCTCACTGCAGCCTCTGCCTCCCAGGTTCAAGTGATTTCTCGTGCCTCACCCTCCTGAGTAGCTGGGATTACAGGCACCCACCACCACGCCAGGCTAATTTTTGTATTTTTAGTAGAGATGGGGTTTCTCCATGTTGGTTTGGCTGGTCTCGAACTCCTGACTTCATGATCCGCCCACCTCGGCCTCCCAAAGTGCTGGGATTACAGGCCTGAGCCACCGTTCACAGCCTCGTTTTCACTTTTACGTTTTTGTCTATAGTTTATTTTACTAGGAAAGGGAGACGGAGTTCAGCTTTGTGCTTTCCCACAAAGAAGTGACGCAAGAGCTGCTCTTATTTCATCCTAACTGGCGAGGGGCCTGGGACCCCTCAGTTGCTTAGAGGATGGAGCAAAGGGGAGGAGGAGAGATCCCCTGCCCCAGTCCCCCACCCAGGTGGTGACAGGCCCACTTCCTCCTGGGAGCCTCCACGGGGGAGGGGTTGTTGCAAGCCAGGAAGAAGAGGAAGGGTCCAAATGGGCGCCTTCAAGAGTAGAACTGCAGGTCCCGTGGGAGATGGGGCCTCTTTAGCCTTGCGGTATCCACCGTGACAGAGACCCTGGGCTCCTCCCTGCTGACTCAGGCCTTGTCTAGGGTTTGCTGTCTTAGTCCACGTTATGCTGCTCTAACAGAGACTCAAGACTGAGCAATGTAGAAAGGGAAGGGATGCCCGGGTGCGGTGGCTCAGGCCTGTAATCCCAGCGCTTTGGGAGGCTGAGGCGGGCGGATCACGAGGTCAGGAGTTTGAGACCAATCTGGCCAATATGGTGAAACCCCGTCTCTACTAAAAAAATACAAAAATTGGTCAGGCACAGTGGTGGGTGCCCGTAATCCCAGGTGCTTGGGAGGCTGAGGCAGGATTATCTCTTGAATCTGGGAGGTGGAGGTTACAGTGAGCAGAGATCGCACCATTGCACTCCAGCCTGGATGACAGAGCAAGACTCCGTCTCAAAAAAAAAAAGAGCAGCAGTTCTGCGGGGGCTGGGATGGGAAGTCCAAGGTCCAAGGGGCCTGCATCTGAGCGGGGCTTTTTGCTGTGTCATCCCATGGTGGAAGGCAGAGGGCAAGAGGGCACGGGCCCGGGAGACAGACAGACACAGACAGAGATGAGAGACAGAGACATACAGACCGAGATGAGAGACAGAGAGACAGAGATGAGAGACACAGAGAGATGAGAGAGACAGAGACAGGAGAGGCATAGAAACAGACAGATGAGAGACAGAGCTAGAGATGAGACACAGATGGAGACAGAGAAGGGGGCCAGACTTCCCCCTTTATCAGGAGCCCACTCCTGTGCTAACAGCGTGAATGCTTTGGCGAGGATGGAGCCCTCACTGCGGTGGGGATCAGGTTTCTGGCGGCGAACCTGGGGACACGTCCACACCACGGCACGTGCCTAGTGTGTTTCTCGGTGGCTGGTGTGTCCGAGGACAGTGCGTGCATGCATTTTCCAGCTTTCTTTGCAGAGGAAGTTACCTGTGGGTATTAACCTGTCCCCAGCCAGCCTCTCACTGAGCTTGGGTCGCCTAGGCGTGGGTTTCCTGTTGCTGCTGGAACGAATGACCACAGACAGTGGCATCAGACGGCGCAGGCAGACATGACCTCCTGGGCTCACGCGGGCACCAACACTGCTGCTCCTTCTGGAGGCTCAGGGAGGCTCTTGAGGGCACTGGGACATTGCGCTGCCGGCCGCCGGCCACTGGGCAGAACCGGTTTGTTTATTTTTTGAGACTTCCGGGAACATAGTTATAAATAACTTTGACTTGCCTTGGCCTGTCCACTGCAGTACAGTCACGTGTCACATAACATTCTGTCCACCGTGGACCACATATACGACCACACGGTCACATAAGCTGACAATACTGTATTTTTACTCCACTTTCTCTGTTTAGATACACAATCACTTACCGTTGTGTCCCAGCGGCCTCTGGTACTCGGTACAGCCACGTGCTGTGCAGGTGTGTAGCTCAGGGGCATGAGGCCGTGGCCCGGCCCAGTGTGCAGTGGGCGGCACCTTCTGGATTTGTGTCAGTCCCTGTGGAGCTTGCACAGTGACAGACTCACCCGGAGGTCTTGCGTGTGCTTCTGTTTCTTTCTCATTTGATTGTGGCTAGAAGCAGGTTGGGAACCAGGAGTGCGGCTTCTCCTCGGAGTACGTGGCTGCCCCACGGGCTGGGATGTGCATTTTCAGTAACGTTTGGGGAGAGCAAGCTTATTCTTAGGTTTTTATTGGGTTCTAGTAAGAATAGATGTTGATTTTTGGAATTCTCTCCTGTTTATTTTTTAACATTTTTGTAGTGGGAATTTGTGAAATAATATAAAGTCAAGAGCACGGTACAGTGAGGACCCAGCACCATCTCCAACCTCCCCGGGGTCCGTGTGGGGTCCGCGTGTGGCCGCCTGTCCCTCAGGGCAATGTCTGGGTGTAAATCTGACACATCACAGAAAGCAGGCTGCAGACGGCATCTCTACAAAAGAAGGATGCTTTTACAGGAGAATCGCTTGAACGTGGGAGGCAGAGGTTGCTGTGAGCCAAGATCACGGCACTGCCCTCCAGCCTGGGCGACACAGCCAGACTCCATCTCAGAAAAAAAAGAGGGGGGCTGGGCACGGTGGCTCACGCCTGTGATCCCAGCACTTTGGGAGGCCAAGGCGGGTGGATCACCGAGGTCAGGAGTTCCAGACCAGCCTGGCCAACGTGGTGAAATTCCATCTCTATTAAACATACAGAAATTAGCCGGGTGTGTGACGCACGCCTGTAGTCCTAGCTACTCGGGAGGCTGAGGCAGGAGAATCGCTTGAACCCAGGAGGCAGAGGTTGCAGTGAGCCGAGATTGC